TACCTCGGACCCAGACCAAATTGGGCTTAATAAGCGGCTGGGCCTATTAACCGTGGGCTTAATAACCGGCGACTGGGCTTAATACGCGGCTGGGCTTATTAACCGTGGGCTTAATAACCGGCGACCTACTCTAATAGCTAAAAGCTCGGACACATGTTTTGCCGATATCCTGCCGCTGCGTGGCACAGCTATGACGGGTTCGGGTCTTATTTTAAAGATTTTGATATAAGCGTCGAACACAATCTACATTTGTGTACCGATAAGGACAAGGAAGAATGTAATTTTAATTGCTGGCTTGACAGCTGCCAGCTACCAAACACACCCTACCCTGGGGTCTGCGATTATCGAACCTTAAACCCGCATTTGGTTGGTTAGAGTTCCAACGTCCTAACCATTGAGCCAAGGGCTCATTGTTTTGTCGACTGCGATTAGGAATATTAACCAATCACGTTACGGGACGTACTTGCCTTGTCGTGCTTATGGTTCCGATCTACAGCCCCGCCAGGCAGCTGCACAGTGGTTAGCAGGATGGGCAAAATAGCATTACCGATAAATTTAAGGGAGACCGGTGTAGTCTTTGAGCTTGCGTTTAGCTGTGGTTGGTTGATGATGGCTAATAGGCCAGGAGCGGCATTCCAGTATCTTTCGTCTTTGTTGGTAATGTTATTCTGCCTGATGTCGGGGCTCGAGAGTGAGTCTTCTCTTCCCGTAAGATGATTGCTGAGTCCCTTCTGCAATTGTGCTTCATAGATCAAGAAGGCGTGTCGATCACCGGAATCACAATTTTATCCGTCTGAGCTTTCAAACTTTTACTGCAGCCCATCTTCAGACATAAGAGCGTCAATGAAGAATAAGCAATAGTTATAGGGGACAGGGGCCAATTAACCGTTATGGGGAGAGGCGGCAATCAACCACCAGTGCCAACAGTCCGAAGATGCCTGCGGAGGGCGATGTGTGCCGGTGCCAGCTCAATAAATTGATTGTCTGGGTCCTCATACGAGGTTCAAGCTTCAGAAAATTCTCGTCCTGTTTTGTTGCCGACGTGAGCAGTTATCTTCGCGGCTTTGAAGTTAAATTCGTGGACCGTGTCATAGGTTTTGGCAGCCACTTGCGATAATGTGTCACCCTGTCGTACAGCCACCTTATGTTCGTGTATGCGCGAACCAGGCATACGCCCAGTCATGGTATGCGATACACTACGCTCGACTGCTCACTGGTATTTAATCTATCCCTGATCCTCATGACCCTGCTGCGCATGGGAGCCTTGGAACGGTGTGTCGATGGATTCCAGTAAGAGTTCGAAAGCTCAGACGAATAAAAGTATGATTCCGGTGATCGAAACACCTTCTTCTTCTCCAGCTATACACATACCTGGGATGCCAAAATTTGACTCAATTATGATTTACCTATATCACTCACCTCATAAATTCTATCCGTCCTATTTGACAGTAACTGTTCC